AGTGGAGCTGATCAGGCCTGCTGGGGCCCTGGATGTGATGGGAGACACAGGAGTCAGAGATGAAACCAGGGTTCTTAGTATGAGTAGTATCATTTACCCAAAAGGGGGAATGTTGTTAGAGGGCAAGGAGCAGGTCAGGGTCAAGAGTAAAACTCCCTTCAACATTGTTGTTCTTTGTGAGACACACATAAGACATCCAGATGACGGGGTCTGTCTTCACAGAACTGAGGAGCAGTCTGGATTAGAGAGAGAAATGTGGGTGTTGGCATGTAGAAATTTGGATGCGTGGGAGAAGGGAGACACTCAGGGTACTCCAGAGGTTAAATGTTTTGCTGTGACTTTGAAGTGTCACTGTTATTAAGTACAGTCCTCAGACTGGACCTAGCAGACCCAAAGTAACCGGATACATTTGCCACTGTTGTGGGTACAGTTTCCCGAATGGGGCCTGCCTTCTGTATGTGACTGTGGAGTTCCTACATACGTGTGCTCCCATGTCCATGTGCTTAAACCTAGCCATTCCTAGGATTCTGGCCTCGGGTACAAGATGGCCGAGATGTGTGAGCTGAGTTAGTCAAATCCTGAATAAGATTCAGGACTTAACACAGCAGTGATGTCTCTTCTTTCAAGTTAGTTCAGAATCAGTGCATTCAAGTCCAATTTAAAAACTTTTAATTACTTTCAAGTACATAATTAATGATTTGTTACTTATTTAAAGAGAATTTTGTAAATATTTGAATTGTATAATTGAACTCATTTTTATTAACTCAGTATTTTCTGTTGTAAATCAAGCGTTTCCCTGTGCTTGGGCGAGATCCACGTGCTGGTTTGTAAAGAGGCTGATGTGACTGTGTATGCCCTGCAAGTATTCAGAAGCATGTCCACTGTCTCTCACACAGATTATTTCATTTCTTCGGTTGCCACAACATTCCACACTCTGTTCCTGTTGCTAAGGCCTCTGGAATGTTCCAGTGCAGAAAAGGGATATAGAACTGTTTTGGGGGGAGGGGGGCATTTAAATTATTTTGTTTCCTCTAGCTTGCTTCCGAATAAGGATATCTGAAGGTAAAGAATTTAGAAAGCTAAAATGAAAGTTGCTTCAAATTTTCATAATAGGAACTAGATTTCATAGAGTGGGTTTAAATATACCATTTTTCTTTCCACAGGGTTTGTGTGTATTTGTACATGCATGCACACATTTTAGGTTGATGTGATGTACTACTGAGAGATTGAGAACTGAGTTTACATGTCACACAAAGCCAAGTCCTACTTGTACTGTTTTCTTGCTGCATGATATTAGATTGATTTCTCCACAAGTAAAAGGAAGATTATAGTGCAAGATTCTTGTTAGAAATAAATGGGATAAACCATATAAAAAGTGCTTAATAAATGATAATATAAATGATTAATAAATGATAAATGTCAACATTAATCATTATGAACATCATCATTACTGTCATCAATTCCAAATGAGCTTCAGTTACTGAGGAAATTGGTATGTTTACAGAAGTCCGTATTCGTGGACCCTTCAAGAAGGACCCTTAGCCTCCTAGTATTACCTGCTGTCAGTCTCACAGAAGAAATAAAGGAGGCAGGACAGAAAAGAACAGTTCTCTGTGTAAACACCATTGTAGCAGATTTGAATCCTCATTACTTGAAAGGATCGGTACAGTTTATATTTTAGAATTGCTTTACTTTTAAAGAGTTATGGAACGGCTCACCAGAAATACCTGATATCTAGCATCTTGATATATTCTAAACAGCATTGTTTGACGTTGGGTGCTGTGGGAAACCACAGACCAGTGCATCACAGAAACTGAGAATGAAAATGAGACTGTTTATTTAATGTTCTTTTAAGTACTGTTAGTAAAACAAAATGAGTTGATTTTGTTAGTGAAATAGTTGATTTGATAGACATTTTATACTTTTCAGTTATAATTTATAGGTATTACTATATTGTATAATTTGAATTTCTTTGCTAGTAGTCCTGTTGGAGGCATATGGCATAGGGGTATGTGGATGGCAAACTGTTTTAAATATTTAAGAATGATATGTTGTGTCAAGAAACAGCCATAGAAAATAGGTTATTGTGTGTTTGTGTGGTGTGTGGTGTGTGTGTGTGTGTTTGTGTGTGTGTGTATCACTACCTGGGATATAACCTTCAGCCTTCTCCTGCATGTACTATATTTAACTCGATGTGGGCATGCTGTCAAGGAAAGTAGCACATTGTTTGACTCCTATTTTTTTTATTAAATAATTAAGCTTAGTCACAGAAGTCAGCAGTCTGTTGGAAACGTCTTAAGTTACTGAATCCGTTTGTGCAGTCAAGGGTTGAGGTCCTGACATTTCACATTATTGGAGTTGAAATTCTGAAGGAATAGACATTATCCCTGTGTACTCGAAGATGAACTAATCCAAGCCCTTGGTGCAAGTTCCATGCTATGGTGGTTTAAACTGCTGCTGTGCTCCCACATCCCGTATCAGAGTGTCGGTTCAAAACCCAGATGTTGCACTTTCCTATCCAGCTCCTTGCTAATGTGCCTGGGAAAGCAGCCCAAGTAGTTGGCCATTGCCACCCATGTAGGAGGCCAGGAGCTCTGGGTTCCTGTCTTTGGCTTGGCCCAGCTGAAGCCATTTCAACCATTTGGGGGAATGAACCTGTGGATGGAAGATTCATTCATTTTCTCTCCCTCCCCTTCCTCTCTCTCTCTCTCTCTCTCTCTCTCTTCCTATTCCTCTCCCACCTCTCCCTTCCCCCTCCTCCCCCTCTTCCTCTCCATCTTCCTCTGCCTCCCCCTCCCTCTCTACCCTACCCTCTCTCTCTCCCACTCCCTTGCCTCCCCAACTCATCTCTCTGTCTCTATCTCATTTTCACAAATAAATCACTTTCTAATAAATACATCTCTCTTTTTTTTTTTTTTTTTTGACAGGCAGAATTAGAGAGAGAAAGGTCTTCCTTTCCATTGGTCCACCCCCCAAATGGCTGTCACGGCCGGCACGCTGTGCCGATCCGAAGCCAGGAGCCAGGTGCCTTTCCTGGTCTCCCATGGGGTGCAGGGCCCAAGCACTTGGGCCATCCTCCACTGCCTTCCCAGGCCGCAGCAGAGAGCTGGCCTGGAAGAGGAGCAACCCGGACAGAATCTGGTGTCCCCCCCGACTGGGACTAGAACCCTGGGTGCTGGCGCCGCAGGCAGAGGATTAGCCAAGTGAGCTGCGGCACTGGCCCCAATAAATACATCTTAAAAATAAATCCTAGCCCTCCTTGTGAGCATCAGATACCAGGTTTGAGTAAGTCCTTCTCTTCTCTGTGAGTCCCTTTTCTTTTTCACAGTGGGAATCATTGTGTCTGCAGAGGTAGAAAGAGATGACACAGAGAAGCAGTGCTGTGGCTGCATCCCACAGTCTTGCTGGATCCTGAGATACTTTCTTTTGCCAGCTAGCTGCCTACAGTTCTGTGTAATAGAAACTGTTGGAAAATCTGAGCTGAAGCTATGTGTAGATATTAGATCAGTAACTTGATATTTTAGAGGTGTTTTTTTTTTTTAAGATTTATTTATTTATTTGAAAGGCATAGTTACAGAGAGAAAGGTAAAGTCAGAGAGAGAGAGATCTTCCAACCACTAGTTTATTCCCCCAATGGCTGCAACAGCCAGGGCTGTGCCAGGTCAAACCCAGTTGCCTCGTCTGAGTCTCCCAAGTGAGTGCGAGGGCCCTAACCACTTGGGTCATCCTCCGCAGCTTTTTCCAGGGAGCTGGATTGGAAGTGGAGCAGCCAGGACTAAAACTGACATCCATATGGTATACTAGCGCCACAGGCAGTGGCCTAGCTTAACCCACTGGCCCCTATTTTAGAGATTATTTTCATTTAATATCTCCTTCGGTTACTTTGTTCTCTCTTTTTTTAAAACCACCAAGTTTACCCACTCTTTGTGAAATTAAATCTTGAAGGCAAGAAAAAGCAGTGCTGGTAAACTTTTAGATTTTTTCTTTCACCCTTTAAACTTGATATTTGGTGAAATAAAACATTTACTAAATTGCCAGTGTAATGTAAGGCTCATTACTTACACAGCTAATTACCCATTCACTGTAGATTTCCTAAGTAGTGCAGAATACTTGTTTAAAATCACTGATTTTGAAATCTTCTCTAAGTCTATATTTCGGTTTAAATTCTCAGCTCTCTTCACTGGAATGTTTTAATAATTAAATTGGGATCTTTTGGGGAACCTTTTTTTCAAGGTATCAAGTAATTTTCAGTTTGTCATATATATAAAAAGTTTCACTTTTGCTTTTCAATTAACTTGATATCTTAAAATTTCAAAAAAAAAAAAAAACCAATACTTTAGATCCTGCCCAGTTCTGGTAATCAAAGTGATATTAACGTATGAGATGCTTTGTCTGTACCCAAGTTCCATTTGTCTGTTGGCGTCATGATGTAAGCAAAAGGACTAGAAGTTATAGTGTATTGGAAAAAAAAAACGTGATCCTAATTTCTGTGTATTATGTGATGGTGGAACCGATGGTTATACTCTTCTTACACTCTTCAGGGAAGCTTCTCCACTTCTTAACTATTCCCTAGAACTCTCAGGGACCATAGAAATTGAATGCATAATTAAACAAATGAAACCATTCAGTGATAACTGCTTTGTGAATCACTAATCATTTTATGTGGTTGCAGCTTCTTCCCCATAATCACTGGTAGAGTTCATCTGAAGTTGTTTTGTTGTGCAAATGCATTCATTGCTTGTATCTGAATAGATTTGTCCATTTTGCCTCATAATGATGATTTTCAGTGGATGTCATTTTAACCCTTTGTAAAGTTTCTCTGTATGCCTGATTTAATCTCTTAATAGAGTGTGCTGTATGGGTCAGTTTTAAAGTGGGGGGGACATTTGTCCTGCTGCACTTTATAATATGACAGCTCCTTTAAAATGTGTTGCTACTCCACATGGGGGCATATCAGTCAGAACCAGATGAGTGAGTGACCTTCTGTTTCTTTGTTGCAGACATGCCAATATTTGGTCTCTGTCCAGCCCATGATGATTTCTACTTGGTGGTGTGTAACGACTGTAATCAGGTTGTCAAACCGCAGGCATTTCAATCACATTATGGTAAGTGTGGAACCATTTAAAAATCATTATTAGAAGGTAAAAGGTAAAGCAGGATTAAACTGAAGGCCAGTGATGGTGTGCTTATGTAATTAACCCTACCCCGGCAGGAAGCAGGCTTTCTAGTTCATAGAAGTATCTATCAGATGTTGAGTATTTTGTGATTTTTATTGAAAGTAATTTTGTGATTTTTCTGGTCCTTACTGAAATTAGGCAAAGAGTTTTTTATGAAATCTCCTTCAAAATACTGCATCAGAGTAGTTAACAGGTTTGTTTATGACAAAGCTGCTGGTTGTGAATTCAGCAAATTTTGTAGTTGTGTATACACGTAATGTGAACCTTTTTCAAAGGAAGTGCGATTCGGAAACATGAGAGTTTAGTAGTGCTGCGTCGTGTGTGTTAAATCTTTAAAGATCTGCATATGCTCGTTTGGCATTGTCATGATGCTGCCTGTCAATGTGAAGGATAAGATCGGATTATAAAACTTGGTTTTTATGGCTAGTTTGGTTCTGTTGTAACTCGGAAGTATTTGAGTGCCCACCTTGGTTCTGTCACTGGGGCTGCAGCATGATTGCTGCCCCCATGAAGTTTGCAGTCCTCATTGCTCAAACTAGTACAGATGCAAGTTTAAAATAGAATGATAGGGGAGGCCGGCGCTGCGGCTCTATAGGCTAATCCTCCGCCTGCGGCACCGGCACACCGGGTTCTAGTCCCTATCGGGGCACTGGATTCTGTCCTGGTTGCCCCTCTTCCAGGCCAGCTCTCTGCTGTGGCCCGGGAAGGCAGTGGAGGATGGCCCAAGTGCTTGGGCCCTGCACCCCATGGGAGACCAGGAGAAGTACCTGGCTCCTGGCTTTGGATCAGCACAGTGCGCCGGCCGCGGCAGCCATTGGAGGGCAAACCAACGGAAAGGAAGACCTTTCTCTCTGTCTCTCTCTCTCACTGTCCACTCTGCCTGTCAGGAAAAAAGGAAAAAAAAAAAAAGTGTTCCAGTAGTTGATAATGGAACTGAGCCCCACGAGATGAGAAGGAGCAACCCAGGCAGGGAACTGGAATCAACACCTTCAATGCAGAGAGAACAGCCAGCATGCAGTCTTGCAGGAGGCCAGTGTTGCCCTAGGGTCCTTGTTGAAGGGAAGTAGAAACTGCAGGTGTCAGCATTCTAGGCAGATAGCTGATCATTCACAGGGTGTGGGCAGAAGCAGCTTGGAGTCTTTGGAGGGATTCTATAAGGGAGTAGCACAGTCTCATCTCAGTGGTGGATTTGTGGAGAGCAAAATGTGGGAGAAAAGTAGAAGTAGGGGGAATAGTTTACAGATGAGACGGAGCTGGAGTGTGGCTACCATGCAGCGGTAAAGCTGGGGATACTGCGTGGTTTTTACCTGCGTTTTAAAGCCAGAACAGGGCTTCCTGTTGGTACTGCTGCTGTTTGAACAGTCACACCATCATAGTCTACATCCTGCCATTTTTTTCCCATTGAGTAAATCTTCAATTAATCATAAAAAGGTTTTGTGAGTTAATCCTTTTCAGGGAGGCCTTTGGGAAGGTCCCAGAATGAGTGCAAAGAGGAATTAGATGACACCTCACTGCTTTAGACTCAGAAAAGACAAATTGGGTTAATTTCCCAGCATTTTGCCATTAAGAATTTTCAAGCTAGCCTATACTAAGTTTAAGTTTGAATCTGCAAAAAGCATAACTTACTTCTTTGCCTTGAGTGAGTTCCCAACCTTGGCTTCCTTTGTTACTGTCCAGGGGTGGTAATGTCTGCTCCTAGGTTCCTGGTGGTGTTAAATGAATAACACAGCCCCTCATATAGTACCTAGTTAAATGAATAACACAGCCCCTCATATAGTACCTAGTATGTAGTGGAGTTGAGAGAGAGAAAGGTGTAGCTGTAGGTACAGGATGGTGTTGGTCTAAAGTCACAAAACTGTCCAGCGCCTTAAGGATAAAGAGGGACGCTGAGGATTTCTTGACAGGTAACTCAGAGAAGGCTTGCTGTGAAAATAGCCTGCCTGCTAGGGTTTGAAGAATAGAGCAGATTATTTTCGCAAGTATAATTTTTTTAAAGATTTATTGACTTATTTGAAAGAGTTACAGAGGTAGAGGCTGAGAGAGAGCAGTGTCTTCCATCTAGTGGTTCACTCCCCAAATAGCCGCAATGGCTGGAGCTGGGCTGATCCAAAGCCAGGAGCCAGGAGCTTCTTCGGTGTCTCCCACATGGATTCAGGGGCTCAAGCACTTCGGCCATCCTCCACTGCTTTCCCAGGCCACAGAAGAGAGCTGGATTGGAAGTGGAGCAGCCAGGACTCCAGCTGGCGCCCCTATGGGATGCCAGCACTGCAGGCGGTGGCTTTACCCACCTGTTGTGGGAATTTGGAGAGTGAACCTGTGAACTCTGTCTCTCAAATATTTTTTTAGAGATTTATTTGAAAGGCAGAGAGAGATCTTCCATCTACTGATTCATTCCCCAAATGCCACAGCACTGGCCCCCTACATGTGTAATTTTATTTCAGTGTTTAGCCATGGAATATCTGTTGTAGCAAATATATACTGTGTGTGTGTGTGTAAGATTATTTATTTGAAAGGCACAGTTAGGAAGAGACAGAGGGGGAGGGCTTCTGTCTGCTGGTTCACTCCCCAAATGGCCACAGTGGTCAAAGCTGGCCTGATGGGAAGCCAAGAGCTTCTTCTGGGTCTCCAGTGTGGGTACAAGGTTGCAAGTACTTGGGCCATTTTCTACTGCTTTCCCCGGAGCATTGGCAGGGAGCTGGATCAGAAGTGGAGCAGCCGGAAATTGAACTGGCACCCATATGGGATGCCAGTGCCACAGACAGCGGCTTCACCCGCTCCGCCACATCGCTGGCCCCAAGAAATACATATTTTTTAAAAATCACCTATAATCCCCTAAAATGGAGAATGTTTTGATGAAGATAGACTACACTACTTACACCAGCCATGTCTGGTGGCCCCAGGCTGACAGCAGGTGATGGGAGTAAGCTCAGAGGCAGGAAATTCCAGGCTGTCTGGAATGTGCTGCACAGCATCGCCTTTGGCAGGAGTTGACGTACCCACCTGTGGATGACACATTGCAGAGGTAGGCTAGGACCAACTCACAGGGCCTCATTGTCCACAGAGTCCCTTCCCTTGATGGCGGTGCGAACCTATTAGCGATTGTTCAGAAACAGAGATGTGACTTAGTGGCGCTACAGAGGATTGATGAGTACAATGGATTAGTGCAAGATCAGTTACAGGTGTTAACTCTTCCAGGACTTCCTTAGGCAGAAAGAGGCTCTCTTGATTCCCTCTGCCAGGTGCACTTGACTCTGATCATGGCATATTTTCATGGAAACTTCTTAGAAAACTCTGCGTCTCCCTCTCAGAATGTCAGCATATGTATTGGGAATAGCACTTAATATCGTATTTCTGCCTTTTGTGTTTACCTACACCAGCACAGCATCTCTTAGTGAGATGCTTGTTGGGTGACAGAGGGATGAGGGTAACCTGAACCTTGTAAAGAAGCAAATATGAGTGCAAGATCCACACACCCCATGTCTTCTGCAGCTGAGCAGGAGATAGGACTGACAGTGCTACTGCATGGGGGTGCTGGCGTCCCACTAGTGACAAGGGAGCTTCTAGGGATAGGAAAGAGTCGGGGGCTGGCATTGTGGTGTTGCAGGTTAAACTGCCACCTGTGATGCTGGCATCCCATATGAGCTCAGGTTCAAGCCCTGGCTGCTCTATTTCCAATCCAGCTCCCTGCTGATGTGCCTGGAAAAGCAACGGAAGATGGCCCAAGTGCTTAGACCCCTGCCACTCATGTGGGAGACCTGGGATGGAGTTCCAGGCTCTATGTTCCTGGCCCAGTCCCAACCATTGCAGTTATTTGAGGGGTAAACTAGCAGATGGAAAACCTTTCTGTCTCCCCTTTCTCCCTGTTTCCCCTCTGCCTCTCCATCCCGGTAACCTTTCTTTTCATATAAATACATCTTTAAGAGAAAAGGAGAAGTGGGGTTCTTGGTTGAAGGATGAGAGCCAAGTGTTCCAAAGAGGAGTTCCACTGGGGAATGGGGAAGGAGTGCCGCCTCTTTGAAGTACCAGTGAAGAGAAGAAAGGCCTGGTGGAATTAAGTGGTTTGGAGATGGAGGGGTTGGGGAAATAACTCAATGAAGGGTAAGGGAGATACCACTCACCTGCAGGGCAGGGGAAATGGGCAGGGTACCCAAGACCAAGAGCCATTTCCAGTGCTGACCACTGGAAGTATTGTTGAAACCCTTTGCTTTTTTTCTATCAAATTCCAGAAGGGTAGTTCTTGCATTCTTGTCTACAGATAGTAACAACCAAGAAATGTCAAATTCAGAATCTTGGCAAATAGCCATGGTAACTTATTTATTGCGGTGGAGATGCCCCTTGAGTTACAGTGGAGTTTACATGGCAGTGCACTCATTGTAAACTGAAACGAGTTTCACACACAAAACCTGCTGAGCATCGCGGCTTAACAACACAGCCTGAGTTCTGGGTGTTATACTCCTGATGGGGCACTGCACTCACTGGCTCACTCAGCGTTATGAGAGAGGATTGCACTGAGTATCACTAGCCCTGGAAGAGATCCAAATTCAAACTTTGAAGTGTAGCATCTACTGAATGCATATCACTTTGACACCATGGTAACGCTGCAAAGTCCTAAGTCAAGCCATTATTAGTCGGACACCATCTGCGTTAGGAAGAACCCATTGCTGCCAAGGAAAGATTGTGTTTTCTTTCAATGAAATTGGTGAAAACATGGGCAATTCCTCAGTGAATTTGTGTATTACTGGTAATTGTGTGTGACTTTTATGAACAAGCGAGCAGTTACTACAAAATCTTCCCAGGCAGTTCCTTTAAAGTCACTGCAGCCAGCACAAGAAAGGACGCTCCAGGCACAGAAGCCTTGTGAGTTAGGGGGTGATAAAGTGGGTGGGAATTGGTAAGCAGCTTGTTACCCAGAGTACTAAGACACCCAT